ACAGAGCACAAGACTGAGTGTGTGTGGGGGGGAGAGGAGATACATTCCTGGCATTCCTGCTCCTCCAGTACCCTGACTTTAACTTTACAGGCCATGTGTAACACCAGCCAAACAAAAACACACTCCGCAGTCAGGCAGCTGAGCAGATCGCACCCCACGCTGCTGTTAACATCTAGACTATCTCCACACTCCGAACCCTGTGCACTCAGACCCCCCCACTCCACCCAAAAGGGCTATTCTAAAATAAATCAGTCCTTCTTGACCGGCACCTAGACTGTCACATGGCCTCCAGGACAGAAAGGGCAACTGTTTGTTCACAAGGGAGACTGCCACCCACACACTGCCCCAGAGCCACACGTCCGCACGGGCTGCTCCCTGCACCGCGGACCCCAGCCCAGCCCCCAGCTGACTCCATCACAGGCCTGGCCTGAGCTGCGCGACGCGGTTCACCTCTTGTGCGTGTGGGAGGCTGCCTGCGCCTGCTGCACTCGGCGAAGCACACTACAGGCCCACCACACGTCTGAGCAGAAATGATATTCCCCATCGAGCAACGCGTGCGCTCAGGTAAGGCTTCGACCAGTTCACTACGCTCAGCTGGTGTCTGAGCCTCCAGGACCTAACGCACATCTTATCCGCCCAGAGGAGAGCCCCGAACGCTGGTTTCGACACAGATTCCTGCATTACCATTTTCAGGGTCTCTGGAGACACCCGCTTGATCAAACCACTGGCTGAAAATCAAATACGTAGTTATCCAAGAGTTACAGGAGAAACCGATAGGGACGTGCAGAAAAATGTCTTCTTGCTCTTGAAATCGTTTTTTTTTTCTTATCATGCATAAAATGAAATGTTGGAAAAATACTCCCAAATAGTAATAGCGCTGGCACAGGATAGCAAAACAGTCCTCTCAACTACTGGCTCCATCCTTTCTGACACATAAAAGGCAAACAGTCTTTTGGAAGCATTAACACTCACCAGGAGTCTTATCTTTCAGACACCAGACACATTTCGACACTCCTCGTTCATAACTACAAGACCTACAGGACAGGACAGCACCAGGCGTTCACAGTGACACTTCTTACCATACTGGAACGGTTATCGCCACAAAGTTCAATAAACTGAGAAGAGGCCTTGCTAACAATTTAGCAAACTGATGTATTTGAAACCCTCAATATAGGTTATTGTCTTCTCAGAGATACGGGGTACCAGTCGTTTTGCCTGCTGCAATGCGATCCAGTTCTGGTTCTGGAGGGCCGGTGTCCCTGTAGGTTTTCATTCCGGCTCAGGCTCTAATGGCCTACATTCAGCTCCTTATTATATTTAAACGGGTCCAATTATCAAGTGCTCCCAGCTCTCCGAGTACCGAAGCTTTAAAAAGACATAGAAAAAGCTGCCCTGGTGTAGTAAGCCACCGGAAACAGCACAAAGGAACCTGACCTTCATCCACTACAGAAAATGCTCGTTTTGTCAAGCGCACGTTGGAAACGTTCGTCCATGGCGCGTAGCCCGAGCACATGAAGCAGACAAAGAGTTGCTCAGCTCTTCAGACAGTGTGAAGTCGCCTTAACACTTCCGATTCTTGGATAACTGCAGCAACAGGTAGTGTCTGCTCTGCAGAAAATGTAACTTGGCTTGTGTCTAAGAATGTAATGCGAGGACACCCGTAGCCTCCTGTTCAGTAGCGGAGTCTGAAACCTCCACATCCGCGGCTTCGGCAACGCGTGGACGCGGCCACCAGCCTACCCGCCTGGGCCAATTAGTGCTTTCGGAAACGAAACTTGCCCGCTTAGCTGACGCATCCATCGATGTTATTAACAAATTCAAAAGTATTTTGGATGGTTTCAGGCAGGTCAGCGTCTACAACAGCCTTGAGTAACCAAGAGAAAACGAGAAGCTCAGGTTTCGGGAAAGAATGTGTCTTTTAATTTCTCGTGTGATGTGCGATTGATTAAAATAAGTTTTTTTCTTTACTTCATTGATTTCAAGATGGTAGGTTTTAAGTATCGGTAGAAAGCACAACTGATTTTTTCCAATCGATCTAGACACAAAAGCTCAATGCCGACAGGCTGTTCGGGAGCACTGCGAAAAAACCCTGACGAGAGAGCGCGAAGAAAATATGATTTTTGTTCATGTATTACTGTATCGATGAGCAAAGGGCGTGCTTGTTTGTTTTTAATAAAAGTTTGAAGTGTTCATCTTTGCAGTTTTCAGCTCAGAAAGACACTACCCGCGGCTCTATCCGGAGAAATTGTTGACTGTGATAGTTTCACGTTTCACATTAGACTTCCCTAATTTCAACACGACGTAAAACGATCGTCGTGCGCTTAAATTTGATCCTGAAATCTAAAGAAAAAACAACCACCTAAGAAGTCACGAACCTGACGCAGACGGTACTCAAATCAGTCCAAATGAAAAACCATACTCACCTGTGTCTGCGCGCAGAGGGATCCGATATTAAATTCAGTCTCCCGGGACAGAAAAGGTACAGAGAGTACGAAGAAGCATTAAGGTGGTCTTACTCCTTCCTTTACTTCACTCTTTGCCCTCTCAAGCGGGTTTCGGTGGGGTATCCCTCAGCTGTACAGTTCCAACGCGCTGTAGGCTCAGTTTTTTTTTTTGTCTGCTACGTTAAAGGTGCGCTGCGGGGTTCGTCGGCTGTAGATGCGCCCTCTTTCCGGCTCCTCTCTCTCTCACACGCACATTAAACGCGGAAACAAAACGGCCACAGCCAATCTATCAAAGTTCAACATCTGGAGGGATACATTTACATCAAAAACAAAGTCCCTGGCTGGGATTAAAATCTCTGCAACAGCAGTTTGGCGCTCAGCTGTGAGCGCTGTGCCATCGTCCACGTTTCTTATTCGCCAATACCGTCTCCAGATTACACGCTTTTCAGTAGATTTTTTAAAAGAACAATCATCCAGTCCCCACGACACAGTCTATTTTGGGTTGTATTTCCTGTATTCTGGGTAGTTTAGTTTCTTAGTACAAGCGAAAGTGTCGGATTTCGATACCTATGAAATTGGTCTCGTCGACCCAGAATTTCTGCTCCTTGTATTTGGGTTTACAGGAATTTTTCTCATAATAGCCGATTTTTTTGCCTGTTCATCCCGCAGATCTGCAGTGCCAGAGTCTCAGTTCAGTGCTACAGAATCTAAAATGTTTAAGTAATCGAATAATCGAAATGGACCACATATGGAGAAAATGGTTAAAAAGGAATGACTATTATGAACAAGTAATAGGCTTATTCCATGCTGAAAAGAGAAGAAAGAAAACACGACGTTTCGGCCGTGGAGCCTTCTTCAGGTGCTCCACAGCCGAAACGTTTTCTTTCTTCTCTTTTCAGCATGGAATAAAGCTATTACTTGTTCCTTTGCATGCTGACACAGCTACCCACCTCAATGACTATTAATGCTGTTACAAGACCCGAAAACCTTGTCAATTAAATTATCTGGAACAATCAACTACCCCGACCCCACTTGGGAAAAAAACCCAGCAAGCGGTTATATTTCTTCTTGCAGGACCTGCAATCTTCAAAAATGAACTGTCTTGTTGATCGTATCAACTGTTCGCTCGGTAACCGATCAGGACAATCCGAAATGGTTGCTAAAAAAGTGCCTGGCTATGGTCAGCGTGACGGGCTTCACAACCCTGAGGAGCAGGCTGGGGCTGTGCTGCTGAATATTGTACCGGTGCAATTCACGAACTGGGAGCTGTTTGTAAATAGATGCATGTAGAATGTACAGGAGTGCTGTGTGTCCAAAAAAAATGTCCCTCAGGGCACAATAAAATCTTATCTTAACACCAGTGGTGAGCCAAGAGCTGAGTCCGAAACAGAGCCCCCTTAGCCAGCTGGTCCTGAGGCTCACTGGCCTGAGCCACACCGACACCAGCCAGCCTCAGGACAGCACTGCTAGAGCACCACAACTCAGACCCAAGCACATCACAGCACAGATCAAACAGCAATATCTCACACACTGGGACATACACACAAACACAACATAAACTGGAATGCTACAGAACCCTAAACAGACAAAACACACTAGCCGAATA